TATTCATTCGAATTAAGATATCTTGAATCGATTAACTATATAAATATAAATCGATATTATTTTTATTTGATTTTTTTTAATCAAGGTAACTCTCTGCAAAAATTCAAGATAAACCCGTCAAGAAAAATTATGAAAATTCTTATTATTTTTAGGCAAATCATTATTATTTTTCGATTATTTTAGATATTTCATATAATATCCAGAATAATAATACGGATTCACTCAATGATATCATAATAAATAATATGAATTTTGAAAAAATTTTTTCTGATTCTTATGGAGATACGAATCAAAGATATTTTATTAATTTCATCTGGATTTAAAGCTTAGCTCCGGATTCCAAAATGATGAATTTTCATAAATATTTTGATCGACTCATTAATATTTGTTATTATTTTTTCATGAAAATCTCGTAGATATGCGAGATTAAGAGAATTTAGATGAATATTTATATATCATCTATTAATATATCATCTATCAGAATCTCGACATATCTTCTATTAAGATAATGATATTTCTTTTCAATTTTATAAGTAAGAATAATGAGAAATTCTTTTGGGTAGATTATGATAAAATGACTAAATAAATAATATATTGAATTTAATTATATATATATATATGCTAAAGAAAAAAACAAAATCGATTCGAATTCTAATGAAACGAAATTGATGCTTTAAAATAATTAATGCGATTTTTTAAATATTTTTAAATTTTTATTTTGAGATTTTCTTCAGGCATAATAAAGAATCCAATTCGAAAGAAGATCATAATCTAGTTTTCCCGGCGAATCTTATTAATATTCATAATATAAAGTGCGGACATATCGTCTCATATTACTTGGATCTTTAAAGAAGCGCTAAAGATTATGCTCATAATGCTCGGCAAATGCGTCTTCAATTCTTATATATATATATATCGCAAATTCCGCCATGTCATAGAGAGTAATCAAAAAATATGTGTCTTCAAAATCTTCTAAAAGACATTTTATTTATTTCAATAAAAAAAATATTATTTGAAGATAATCATTATTCTATTTACCGGATTTTAATTATTATATTCTATATCTAATAATTCGAAAAATAATTTAAAATAAATCTAAATTTAAAACACAATTCCGGTCAAAATATACTATAAATTCATAAATAAAAAATCAAAAACTTTTCGGGGCCCAAACGTATAGCTCCTACGAATTCTCATCTAAAGCATTACCAATCATCTTATTAACGACATATTCGAACCGAACCTCTTAATTAAATCAAAAATCAATCGTTAATTCGAACGAATCAGAGATAACTATTTAGATAGAAAATAAAATATACGATAATCCCAAGATATCTTGAAAACATATATTTTTTAAACCATATTATCAAAATTTATTCAAGAAAATTTAATAATTCTCCTCAGAAATATATTTCAAATTATAATAATTTCATATATATTTCTTATTATTTCTATATTATTTTCAGAAATTTACAATTTCAATTTTATCATTATTTCTTATAATAACGAATAAATTTTATAATTCATCGATATATAAAATTAATCGAAATATTTTAGAAATATGAAAAAAATCGAATTCATAATATCATATAATTGTTTATTTTCTATTCTATTATCTATCCATTAATGAAATATGAGATATCTATATCTTTATAAAAATATATCTATCTTTTAAAACCAACATTTTAAATAATTTTCATTATATTATTAAACAATATTAACTCATCTCTATAGATTAAATAAATATTTAAATTAATAGAAATTAATTCATTAGAAACATTAGATCAGAATATCAATAAAACTCATATAATCTATAAATCGAATTAAATAATCATCTGAACATATTTTATATATGATATATTATGAAAAATAAAGGAAATCTTACAAATAAATCATGTAGAAAAATATATTTATAGATCTTATAAAATTCACAATTCTCAAATCGATCCGAAAATATTTAGAATTAAATTGAATCATATCTTTAAAAAATAATATAATAGATTAGTTTTATTTTTGCCTTATATCTAAACCTAAACCTTATTATTACTATTTTATATAATTATTTCTATTTTCGCGGGCTAGAGGTTAAAAGTACTTTTTCGAGAATACTTCAGAGTATGGAATATATATTCAGCATCTTGAATTAGAACTATGATTTTTCAAAAATTTCTTTTTTTAGGTAGGGGATTTGGGTTAGAAACTAAAAATCATTAAAACAATTATAAATAATAATCATAATAATAGAAATAGTGTAGTAAATAGGTCAAGCAGAAAATTTTCGAAAAAAAGCTAATTTCAGCGTCACCATCGCCGAATATTCGCGAAGGCATATTTAGCCATGCAGTCGGCCGTTCATACATAATAATGGCTCAAGGAGCTTTAGATATGCTTTAGATCAACTATCTCTACCCCAAATTTTTCTATATCACTGACTATACTTAGCGGAGAGTAATGTATGAATGATGCAAGTAATATTCTTGTCTGCACAAACCGTCGGCAGCAGATATGAATTAACCTATACGTGCAGGACAAAGGCTACGTAGCGGCTAGTGGTTCGATTGGGCATTGCAAATGTTCTTGAATTCTGGCAACCAAGTTGGCAACCTTTCCTGTACAGATGCACATCTGACCCGCACTTCCCAACTGGGAGCTCGTCTGATAGGTCAATTGTGCCAAAAACCTCATCCGTCCGACAGTTGAAGGCTCTACGATCTCTCTTGCACTGTGGACAAAGTGCATCGAGTCATCATCTTTGGCCTTGCGCCCGCCAAACAATCATGCAGTACCAGCACAGCTGACCTGTCACGTTGAAAGAGAGGCACAAGGAGCCCAGCCTATAGGAGCGAAGTCAGCGATGTAGTCGCAGTACCTCTGATGCGTGAAATCAGGTTCGTTGCAACAGGAGCGATCCTAAAACTGTTCGCCGCTGAAGCGCAGACGGCGGGGGCGTCGCCCAGGAGCGTTTGACGACGTTGCATTGGGCTGCAAGACAGCCTCTTGTATTCAACAGGTGCAAGAACTGCATGACATGGTAGTCTTCTGGCTGTTCGGACTCCACTTTTCTCTCCAGGTGAGTGTCATCGCAATTGCGATGATTTGAACCATCTGGTCTAGTCTCGCGACAAGCGGAGCAGCGGCCTGCCGTGGCTGTTCCTCGTTTGGAATCAGCGCGACCGCTTCATCGGCATGAAAGTGCTAGCAAGGCGTTCTTGTTCGTCTTGCCAAGAAAAAGATCTCGCAACCAAAGACGCCAGAGAATTCCGACTGCAACCCTTGATCAGCGACAAGTTTGTTACATCACGGAACATAAATTGCATGACGGAGGGTGAGGCTCGAATGCCTCTTCCTTCTTGAGAGCCTCAAGTACACGGAGTTGATTCTCGTGGAAGTCGTTGAGCCAGCAGTTGCTGTTCAGCATGCGAATTGGCCCAGGTAGCTTGGCCTCCCACTCCATCATCTTGTCCTTGCCCCTCCACAAGACCATGGCGTACATGATGGGCGGCAAGAATTTCTTGCTACCTAGGCTAGATTGTGGAAGACCGATGAATGCGATGACGGAAGTCAAACTGCAACAAGACCGAAAGACCAAACATCATGTGCCGAGTAGGCAAGGTTCCGTCTAAGCCCAGGCCTTCCAAAATCTTGTTCAAGAGAACACCCTCTTCCTCCTGCGTAAGCTGACAGTCCGCGAAAATCTTGGGGTAGTCCTGCTCTTCCTCGGCGAGGTGCTCCTCCATGAACTTGATCATCTCTTTCATGGCCGTCTTGAACTCCTCCACTGCCTTGGCATCGCCTGATTCGATCGGCTTCCGGAACGTGACTACCTTGTCCAGTAGAGCAACGAGAGTCTCGTGATCCTTCTTCACCTTGGTAAATGGATCAGCCACGCCCATGCTCTTGCATTTTTCCAGGATGCCTGGATTGTAGATTTCCTCCTCGCTGCGGTGGTGATGATGGACACAGGGAACGTAATAGTTGTCCATGAAATCCATAAGTACCTCAGGAACACGTCAAACCGTCTGCACGCACAAACACACGCTGCCGACCTTAGTTGAGTCTGGCTCCCATGCCTTCGTCTTCCACGCAGATGTAGGGCGCTTCACCGGCTCGAAGTCGGCCAGGATCTTACAGGCAGCGCGAAGGGAGCTTCGAACATTTGAACGCTTGCGTTTACAGGAGCAGGAGAGCAGGAGGCTCAAACAACGGCCCCCGGCTGCAAAAAGTAGCACTAAGCTGCCTGGCACCTGTCATATGACCGAATGACGGTGCCTCCAATAGGTTGGCATTCCACCAGCGGATGCACTCGTGCGGCACCAGAAGCGCCTCGTCCCGCCAGTCCTTCGCTTCGGTAACCACCTTAAGCGAAGCATCAAGCTCGGATCCACGACCAAAGTCTCAAACATCAGGAGCGTTCCCGATGTCCCTTCAACAAAAACCGGACACTGTGTGACGCTGAGAGGCCTTGGACGTCGGCTTGGGGTTCGAAGGATTTGGCCAATCGAAAGCCATGGAAGCTTGGAGAGGTGAACCGAATTAGGATTGAGCCTCTCTGGCTTCGGCAGATGTTGATCATGACTGACGGAATTCTTGGGAGCGGGGGAGGGGTACCAACTGCACACCCGAGAATCTGACTCTTGCCGCGGCGAGCAGCTTCTGCCTAGCACTTCGGTGCATGAGGTGCAGCGCTTGACAGAGCCGTCAGAGCCACGGTGGCCTGCAACGTGCCAGTTTGCACGGGCTGCCTTGGGGAAGAAAGAGGCGGGCACTGCCACAAGTGGTCGCAAGGACAGACTTTGGCAATGGCGGAAGCCATCAGCAAGCGACTTGATCCTGAGTCTTGCGAGGCGTATTTGCTTGAGGAGAACTTGCCTTGACTAAGACATGGACCTGGCCGTTCCGGCAAGCATCCCTGCGAAAGTACGCCCAACGCACACCCAATTCGATTTGCAACTGCTTCACATCCGGCTAGCCTCCTGAGGTGAGGGAATCAACCGTGTATCCGGAGAGCTGCACAGGTACTGGCAAAGAGCAAACAAAGACGGCTTTCGCATACCGTTTCCTCAAGCTTCAAGCTGTCCTGGCTCAGTACCGGAGAAGCTCTTGGAGCTCGGCTTGAATCCCTGGCAAAGCACTGCTACGGAACGAGACGGAACGCAAGCCGAAGCCATGCTGAGTTGCAGACGAGCATGGCAGCACCTGATGCTGGACATCGGGTGCAATTCCGGTGCGGTGTCGAACTCGAATCTGAGAAAGTCGCTGGTGCAAGGCAACTTGGGCCCACCAGCGGAGGCGCAAACCTCGCTGGCCAAGCCTCAAGCAGACCAGGCTGTCGACTCTGGGACGACCCGAGCAGCTTAAAGGTTTCAAAGGTGAACGTCTCTCGCGATTTCTGGCACGTGTCTATCGTCGTGGCAAGGAATGCGCAGTACGTTGCTTCAGTAGCATCGCATGGAGTTGGGAGAGATGTGGAATGTGATGTGGTGTAGAAGCGAGGTCCTCGAGACCTTGTCCCGCTTCTCCAAGATCGATACTCTTGGCTGTTGATTTCAACTGCTTCGCGCGAGAAAGAGGATGCAGCTCACCTGATGCCAGCTGAAATGGAAGAGCCAAGTGCCTTTAGAAACTCGGCCTCCGAAGGAAACATGGCATTGGTGGAGCCGCGCAAAACAGTCTGGCTTTCATGTTTGACTCTCTTAGGTAAGCCTCAAGGAATCAGGTTCTGTGATGGGTGCCCGGCAAGATGCAGGGAAGTGTTCAGAGTCAACGACTCGTCCATGGTAGATGTTACAACAAGCAATGGAAGCAATTGCAGCCAAAGGCTCGCTGCGCGACTTGGCACCAAAGTCGAGGATACTTTGCACGTCTGTCGTGACCTGGGCGAGGGGCAGGCTCAAGGATAGAACGGAAGATAACGACTCAGAAGATCGCTAGGCTGAATTTCCAGCCCTTTAATGGCTCTCGATGCGAGGTCCCACGGCTTGTGCCGGTGAGAAAGGCCTTCCTCCAGGGCCTATGCCGGGCAGCACGAGTTGTTCGTGCCCTTCTGGTCTGGCTTGCCCCTGGTCCCTGAACCCTCAACACTCGCCTGGCACCAATCGCCTCTGTAGCGCAGTTGATCAAAATCGCAAATCCAGCCGACAGTCGTGGCAGCTACCCTCAAAGTGGAAGACCCCAGTCCCGAACATAAGCTCAAACCCGGCAAGAGGGCAAGATGCAAGTCTCAAAGATAAATATCGCTGGTGCAGTCGCCCCCGGGGAGGCGCATCTCATGGCACAGAACGGGACCATCTGGCTCGTTCCCGAAGTCCACCAGGAAGTTTGGGTTCAGTGTCAGCCCGCCTTTCTCGGTGTCCACGTCAAGCTGGATGACTTGCGCACCCCGACCGGCCATATCCGGGTAGAACTGCTTGTCCCAAGATGAAAAGAGGGACGTGGACACGTAGAGGCGCTTGCCATCCTAGGTGCCCAGATGTGCAGTGTGAATCCAAACATCCGAGACCTCCCCGAATCCGAAGCTGAAAAATCGCTCAAAAGCAAAACTGCTCGCTATCGAGCGCGAGTCCAGGGAGAGCTGGACCATCTGGGCCCCACCTGTCCAGCGAAAGCTGTCGACTTGACTAGAAACTGGCTGGGTCCGGCTAGGTCTAGGCCCGTCGATTCAACCAATGGGTTGCTCAGATTTCGAGAGCCCATCGCCTTGCACCTCCACACCTTTCACGACCAGCGGCTCGGGCTGAGACTCGCCGTCCTTGCGAGTGACGGAGCCTCCCCGCTTCATTGAGCCACCGACGAAGAATTGGCCGACGAGCTTCGGCTCCTCACCGGTGATGTCGTACTGGCGGACGTCGCCGTGGAGCCAGTTGGAGAAGAAGATGAAGCGGTCGTCCATGGAGATCAGGAAGTCTGTAATGAGGCCTGGCATTTCCGGCAAGGCCCAGCCTTCCACTGGGATGGGATCCACCTTGATTACCGTCTTGGCCTCCCACTGACCCTCCTCCGTTTTCCTGAATCGCACCATCTCGGAGCTGAGAGCACAGCCCGTGTAGCCCTCTGCTTTGTCGGGGTTATGGAGGAAGCGAACCTCCAGAGGAATGGAGCCGGCTCCCACATCCAACTCCTGCTTCAGGGTGCGGTCGGTCCAATCCCAGACATAGAGTTTGCTGCCGTAGCGTCCTTCCGCGACGTGGGCAGGATTGAAGCCTTTCGTGAAGCATCCCGGGTCCCCCCACTCCGAGGAGACCATCACATTATGTCGCGGCTGGTACCAGAAGTCGTATCCGAAGCGTGTCGGGTTCTCCGGAGCTTCCCAGCGCTTCGTGATCTCAAAGGTCTTGGGGTCGAAGCACACAAAGCCGGCACCTTTAGGCTCGAACCCCTGCTTCGCGGTACCACTGCCCATGAATGACATGATGATCTCGTCCGGCGCGCAATGTGCGGTGTGCGGCAGCGCAGCACCCGTCTTGGCCAGAACCTCAGCCCCTGGAATGGTTTTGTGAAGCTTGGGTGCACGCGGGTCCGACCGCACATCGATGAAGTGAATGTTGCCAGACAGCACACCGGGAGCAATGATGAAGGCGTGCGTGGGCCGTCCCACCTGCCCGCGGCAACTAGAGCAGGCATTCCAGCCGAGGTGATGTAACTCGTCGCCTGGCTCTGCCATGTGCAGCCGGTGGATCACCTGGCAGTAGCTCGGGCTGTTTGGGTTCACATCTACCGTTGCCAAATAGTCTGGCTTTAGCCCCTTCTCGATCTGCACCGCAGGAATGTACAAGACTTCCTCCACCACACCGGCATTCTTGGCTTCCAAGGGCGACCCGAAGCCCATTCCCTTGCAGCAAGTGCCAACTTTCGTCTGCGACTCGGTGGTGCTCTCGTCGCCATAGCCATAAGCCATCCTGACCGTGGCGACCGTGAGGAAAACGAATTGAGAGCTTAAAATGACTTGAGCCTGTATGGCTGGTCGCGCCACAAACTGCATCACGTGGTTGCAGCGGAATCTTGCCGGACACGGACTAGCCAGTAGTTTTGTTGCGAATCGCCGACACATGCAATGTTGCCATTCTGTTTGCTGAATGTGCTTGCGATTTCTGGCAGATGCACAGCACCCGGCTTCATCATTCCTCGCCGACAGCTTTAGCCCTTCTGACGATCGAGTCCTCGAAGGGAGCCAACACTTCGGTGTGGACGCCGCGGTATACTTTCACTCTGCAACCCCTCTGGCTCCTGGCAATGCTGTCGACGTTCGAGCCTGGCATGACGTAAACGTGTGCCACCAGGTCACAAGGAGCTTTCAAAGGCTCGTGAAGCTCTCTGAGCTCAATCGCGTTGGGGGAACATGGCACGGACTTGGCCAGCGCTGCCAAGCGTGAGGCTCCCGGAGCCTTTCGCCCGAGCCACACAGTCAGCTCGGTCAGACGACATGACCCCTTAAGCAAGTGATTCGATGCCCAAGGGCCCAAGGTGAAAAGCTGAGGCCGAGGCAGTGCTCCTCACCGGCGAAAGCGATGTCAGTGAGGCTTGAAGACGCCCCTGCTCGTTGGACGCAGGACGGAGCAGTACCCAGGACACGGAATTGGGGTGCGCAGCGGATGGGCACCATTCATAGTCACGATGGTTTGTCAGTGATGGACAGGCTCGATGGTCTGCTTTGATTGCACAGTGAGGGGCGCCTGTGGGCTACACTCCCAACAGGAATCCGTCCCTGCGTGCGTGAGCATGCTAGTGATCTGGCACAATTGGGCGCATGTTGCACATATATATATATATATCTGAAGGGCATTTTCGCTTGTCATTTGACCCTGCACTCACTGCTCTGGTCCCGCTTGCTGCCTCGCCGCCGACCATTAGAACATGTGCCCGGGCACCTTCCGTGTCCAGCCGATCCTTGTTGAGTTGATGGGCAACATGTTCAGTGTTTGGTATGTCTTTGGTTGTTGACACCGATACCTGGCGGATGCAATCTTCGTTGAAATTACATGCCTCAATGGAAACCTGGCCTCGATGTGCTGCCGCTGAAGACTCTCAAGCCTGGAGGCAGAGACCCCACAACACGCAGTACTCAATGCGCATGCATGGAGCACCTTGCATGCCAGCTGTTGCATTGAGCCAAACCAGGATTGCTCAACTCCGTGCAGTACTGAGGAGGTGGGATGGCTGTTTCGAGTGGAAAGCTCCGTGCACATGGCCGAATGGATTGACCTCCTCTGCTATTCTTTCTGAAATCTTGAGCAAACTTCAGGATGTGTAGGCTCTTCTTGGTGAAGTTCTTCGCGGCCCCGTGTTGAGAGCGGTCTGAACTGCTGGTTGACTTTATTGTAAGCATAAGCTTCCGTCAAGAGCTGCGACAATCCCTTTTGGTGTGGGAGTGGGCAGTGTTTCTGCGAAAGGGCCGTGCCATCCTCCGTAATGCAAACGCAAAACCAACATACACCCAGGAAAGCCAAGACCCAAACCCCTGAAACCCTACAACCCTGAAAGCAAAATCCACTTAAAGCCCCCGCGCCCTAAAACCAACCCATGTGTCACGTTGGATGCTTCTCTGGCGGGACGTACAATTGCCAAGCACATACGCGCACAGGTCTTGCAGAACCTGGTGCTAAGCCATCTGAAGTGCTGTTTGCTAATCACTACGTCGCTTCTGCGCAGGCCACGTGCAGTTTGGTACTTGTGGGCGACATGTTTACTAATTAAGGCTTAAAGGCTCGAACGAGCTCTTCCTTACAAAGGCTCTCAAAACATCTCCGGCAAGCACGGGTTTTGCTCTTAACGAACATTTGCTTTGAGGACTTCCGTGTCGGCAGGCTGACGCGACGTACCAGTAGAGAGGACCCTGGAGCCGGCAACAAAAAAGTTCACAATGATACAATATCTTTTGATGTGTGCCATTTGCTGTAGAAGCCCCCACCACGGCATCTAATTCCTGCACAAGGGCATGCGATGATCCTGCCCAAACGGAAACATGCTCGACATATGAGACACGATGAGCGGAAACCGGCATCTTGTCTTGTGCTGACGTGAATTTGTGGCCGGGTGGCTCAAGCGCATGCTGCCGCCGTTCGGCTTCGAGTTGTCTCTCCAGCTCGCGGCAGCGACCGGACCTCTCCGTTGCCATGGGGCGACCTTCACAGACAGAATCTTTGTGAGTCCTTGGCTCCTTGGGCACGGAGCCTCCTTCGATCTCCAGGGGCTGCACCTGCGAGCTGCGTTCAGTGAGCAGTGTGGCTGAAACCCGATCTGGCATGCGGTGATTGAGATAGAGCCCCGATGTGTGATGCAGTGCCCATGAGCACTGGCGGGTGGAGATAAACTGAACTTGGGCGTGAGCCTCAGAAATGTCTGTGCCACCACACAGAATCTGCACTGACGACCTGAGCATTTTGCCCTGCCTGCCGCACTCTTGGCATCTCTTGGCCTAATATATCTTCTCGATCATCTTCTGAGTTCCCTGCTGATTGGCAGTCCAGCCCTTCAGTGTGACCGGCATGTCAGCCAAAGGTGTCGCCTGTCTTTCACTTTGGAAGAAGAGATGTCACCCTTCAGCAAGGTCTGTCATACAGGCAAGATCGAGTGCACGCTACTCGGTCCTGCCTCAATGAGAAAGCTGTAGCTGCCGCCTGGGATGTCTCATGTGGTACACACTCATCCGACTTCATGCCCCTGGTGAACAATAACTCTCACGAGCTTCGCTTAGGCAACCTCTGAGATTCGGGCGAGTGGTCGGCGGGCATGGGGATTCCTCTCTCGCAGTTGCATCACGATCTCGAGAAAGCCTGCAGCAGGCAAGGCCATGTTGTCTGCATAGCCAAAGTCCAAAACTCTACGCACGCACAACAGCATAAGCCCTGAAGGTCCGAACATGGTCCAATTTGAGCACCGGGCGGTGTGCCAGCGGCGGAGCCTTCCCGTATGTGATGGTGCTGGAGTTTCTGGGGGCTCTTGTGCATAACCGGACATCAGTTAGCAATCAATCTGATGAGCGAACACCTACACACCAAACGTGCCCCAAAACGTGTCATTACATCACATCCGCTGTTGTCGTCCAACCTCGCAACTGGATGCGTGAGTACCGAACATGCTTTAAACTGATGCATCACATCTGTGTAAAGCATACTTAGCCAGCTAATTTTCCATGTCCTCCTAGCTTGTCACGCTCGCCTACAGAGTTTTTGAGTACTTGTAGCCCGTTTTTTGTTGAATTCGGATCTTGTATTAAGGCGGGGATGCGACGGCCTGTCGAGACAGCGGCCACTGAGCAAGTAGACGACACACCCGATCCTGAAACGCGGGTGGAGGAACACTGCTGTAAAGCAACGATCGGAGAACACAAGAGATTCGGGCTTATGTATTGCAAGCTTTGCCTGGATCAGCGGTGCTCCTGCAGCTGCCAAGCAACGTGACCTGAGCTGCACGGAACTGCGGGGGCCTGCACGCCTCACTTAAGCGCTTGTTGAAACATTAAAGGCTTTCCTTCCAGGCTTCCGGCGCTGTTGCAAATTGGCAGTGCCTCTGGAACATCCTCGCAATCCGGGCGAAAACAACATGCAATCGGCAAGCATTCAATCTAGATTCTAGATGCTTGAGTTCTCAAGGGAGCCCACCAAGTGGCTCTGCCCAGCATGGCTGGTCGCCTGCGCTCGAAGCTTGCAGTAGCTGTGTTCGCACTATCACAGGTAGATAGCCCTAATCCACGCAAACTCGCATAACGAAGCTTACTAGCACCATAATGCACCGCGCACGGCTGTGGTCCATCTTCATTCTCTGCACGGCTTGGCTCTTCGAGGCACTGCTCGGACTGTGCCTTGATTAATTTGGTTGCTGTGTGGAGGCTGAAGCATGTTTTCCTTCATGCACGCTGCTGTCATGTCCGAGATGTCCTCGTCATGACAACGAAAGGCCCAAGGATGTCCACGCCATAGCAATGACTTGTACGTCCTTAAGGAATGTAAGCTGACAGTGGCCTTGTTGTCCTTCGTAGCACCAGCAGCCTCGATGGCTCCACTTCATCTTAAGGATGGCAGCATTGTGCCAGGAACTGGGAGCTGCACCGGTGATATCCTGCTGCTGCGCGGGCCTTGGCTTCATCGTCGCGTCCCATGTAGTAATGTATATGCAGAAAATGAACACATGACAACTTCCATGCAGCGGCTTTCAGCTGGCGACGTTCGGGACTTAATGACGATGTGGACATCGACTTTGCGACGGTAGACCTGCTCGCTTGGCAGGACTCATGCAGTTGTGACAGTGCCTGAACTCACTCTCTCTCATGCGGGACCTTGATGACCTGCGCCTGTCTGCCGACAGGGAGCGTGAGGCCTTCCGCATCATCTTGAGTCAAAGCTCTGACTGGCTAGCACAGCTAGCAATGTTTCAGACATCCGCCGGACTGGGCTTGCGCGCAGATCTGCGACTTTCCAATCTGGCCTTGGATGCTGGACCGCTGTGAAAGTTGTGCCTACTGCGTGTTAGCAGATGTACAGCACATGTCCAAACAATCGCGGCAGCTCGTCGACGAACTGCATGAGTGAATAGAAAAGCCCCTGCCCGTGATGCGGATCAGGACAGTCGCCCCACGCACAACTCGGAAACCCACAGAGTGGGTTCATTGGGATGCTGGCCTTTGGATTGCTTGTGCTGATGCTGTTGCTGTTGCTGATGAGGTTGTTGATTTATATGTTTGGTGGCGCTGGCGCTGGCGGTTGCCTGTTGTCGCTGCAGCTGCTATTGCTACTGATTTACGACTAGCTGCTTTCGCAGAGACAGTTGCAGACGGGAAATCCAACTTCTCAACTTCCAAATCCAACACAAGAAACTATGAGCTAGAAGATCCTGCAAGGTTCGATGAGCATCCGAGTCTAAGGATTGCGCGAGCTCTCGACGAAGCTGAGCAATTCGTCTCTCAAGCTGCCTGTGCTGGCATCATTACTCTGACTGGCTATCCGTGTGTCTTTGTGGGTTCCCTTGCCTGTCGGAAGATTGCGAGGATTGGTGGGGGCTGCTGACAGTCAGGCCAACCTCAGCTGGTCATGGCCGCCGCTGTCCCTGCTACTGGTGAAGAGCCACCCAAACATGCCGACGGTGCACAATAAGCTTCAAGCACTGTTTTCCACCTTTCTCGCACGGACCGCGAATCGCAGTGAAGACAACGTCTCGGAAGCATGGATGCTGCTCGACCTGAGACTTGACGCCCTGGCTCCCCTGGCTGCCCTGGCTCGACTTGATTGTGGCAGGTACAAAGTTGTAAAGGCGTGGCTAAGGCCCCAGCGAACAAGCCACCAGGAGAGTCGTGCGGCAGTTGCCACCTCACATAGCACCAGCATCACTAAAGGCTACGCTGCGCTCTCTGCGGTCTCGACCCAAGGATTCTTCCAGCAGCCGTGTGAGGCGGGAGTCTCTGTAAGGTACATGCCTGAAGTGGCCGCTTCTCAGCTAAACAAGCACTGTCAACAAAGTATCCACAAAGTAACATCCGAGGCCCACGCGGCCTTCGCTCGGAAAGTGCTTCTATCACATGACCGAGCCTGAGGTTCGGCAAAACCGACGAACATCGGTGTCAAAGCTTGAAGCCGTAATGTACTTCCGATGCCCTCTCAGTGAATGTCGCACTCAGGGAGGAGTTGATTTTCTTCGCTTCTTCCAGCATGCCCTGGGCACATTGAAATCGGGCAGGGCATAGTTGCATCAGCAAGCACCAAGACATGAAGTATCTTGAAAGGCAGGAATTCTTTGACGAGTCTTTGAGCTCCAGGCACCCACAGAACCACTTTTGCGGACCTCCATTGGTTGCTATAGTCACTACTTACTCGGTGGGCAGTTGACATTGGTGCCGACAAGACTTGTCGTCGCCAAGAATGTAAGTGGCCACCTTCTCCGATCCGGCAAGATCAACCAATGCCAACTTGCACCTGGCCACAGCACGTGAATGCAGCTTGCTACGTCTTTCAGAAGCAACGCAGCATGCGGCACGCTCGAATTCCGCTTTTCTGCGTTTGTCGCCTGGGGCGCGTTGGAGCAAGAAGCGAAAAAACCCTCCAATCACGGCTCTCGGCAAGAGACACAGGCTTGCTGTGGTGCAACTGAGCTAGGGCTGCCGCAAAAGCAGGGAGAAGATTGCATGAGAACGGGATCTTAGTAGTGCAAGGTCGACAGATCCCAAGAAACATCCGCATGAGCCAGAGATCGCTGCGAGTGCTCATTCAAGCTGGTGTTGGCGGCCACTCTGAGCCTCAACCTGAACGTGTGTGCATGCGCTCCCCACTGCTGCCCGCGGCTGCAGGCATGGCCAATAATGATCATCTGCAGATCTCGGGACTGAGATGAAGACCCCAGTCGCAAAATCTGCAACGCTTCAGCGGCGGTGGAGATCTGGCACTTAAGACTATGCTACGGCTGCTACGAGCCTCGTGAACGGCACGAAGGGGCCTCCTTGTAGGTGAGACCTTCCACGCCACCGGGGAACTCCTCTGTCAGGCCCAGTGACGAGGGGAAACAGGCTCAGCTGCAAAGCCGTCCTTCAACTGTGGGTTCGGCGTCTTTGGACTCAGGAAGTCGCGCACCCTGTCCAAATAGACCTCTAGCAAGAGCCGCGCGGGAACCATCGCTCCAATCTGTTCAGCTCAGCCCGGGCCTCGAAAAAGCTGCACTGCAGCTTGGTGCCTGAAGTTGCCGAAGGTCTTCTGGACTCTGAGGGACTCTCCGACTGAAACACACAGGCCTGCACTTTGTTGGACGTGCTGTAGGACCTGCAGAGGCGCCAAGTCGGAAGTTCGAGCGCCTGATCCAAACCCGGCCTGCTCCACAGCCCTCGGCACCAGCCCTCCCAAGGCGCATTCGAAGGCACAATAACCAAACCACAGCTATGTCGGACCTTCCAGATCTCGGGGACTTCGACCCTGCGGTGGCCCGAACATGCAAAAGGTCCTGGACCACGTAAGCTCTGAATGAAGACAGGTGTGATCTTTCCAAAACCGGGTGTCTTGGAAGGCTCTGAGCGGTGCACTTGCCAGACCCTGTAGGTCCATAGGCCAGGATGGTACCATTATATCCGGACCTAAGAAAGCTCACAGCTGTTGCTTTTCAAGCGGCTGTAGGTTACGCGTAGCTACTCTACATGTATGTGGCTGGCAGCACATCTTGCACCACACGTCGACCTGGCACACCACGACGCATTCTGGGAAGTATGCCAGCCTGGAGAGCAGTCCGTGACATCAGGCCTACATCTTCGTAAACTTGCTGTTGGCTTGTTTCCTGACCTCGCAGAAGGGCACATGCGATTCAGACCACCCGGCTCTTACCATCTGGCGTGCCGCCCGCAACCGTAAGCAGCTAGCCGAACGCGCTGTCCAACCGGAAACAGTGCCTGGAAGACATCACGCAGACAGTCATCCACAAATGCTGTTGCTTGAGCTGGCACACGCATGTTCTAGAATGATCCTCTAGTAGACATCGAACAGGCATGAGATGATTCACAACGACAGTTTGACAAAGCGCCATGAACGCAACCGAGCCGGTCAGGCAAGTGGTCAGCAGACTCAACTACCTGAGCATTTTGGTCTTTATTGAATAGTGTGCCAACATCTGATGGGCAGCGCTGAGATCCCAACACCTGCAGCATCCACGGTGAACGCTGGGTTCTCCTCGATGATCGTTGGCAAGTTTAAAGGAGGACGATACTTGCTTGGTCTCGTTACATGTCACGGGACATGCAAGTCATCTCCTCCTGCTCTTCTTCAGAAACTGGAGGTCGAAAACGGGCAACAACCCGAACAGGGCACACCTCTCAACTTTTCAAGCTGCGAAGCGAGACCGGTATCGGAAGAAGAGTCGGAAACTAAGTCTCCCAGCTTCACGCGCCTCGCCGCAAAGATTGGAACCTCCCGCAGGAGCCTCAGGACGCTGCCACAGGAAGGCAGCTTCACAATTACGTCCAGGTCCGGCCCAGACAGGTAAGACCAGGCACAGCGCTTACTCCATCAGCAGAGAAGGGCTGGTGACTTTTGGTGACGCATCGCCAACACAGGATGGCCCAGCAACAACTGGCTGACAATTGACAGCGCAGAGTCTGAGTATCAGGCCATGCAAGATAAAGATCGCAGCGAGGCCGCCCGTACATATCAGTTCATACCCTAGAAGATGGTCCGAACAAACTACGAGTACCAATTACCAGGTTACCAGTAGCTTGCTATTGTCTTTGGAGCTGGGTATAAGCCTCATCCTAGCAGGCCATCTTTCTTCATGCGCTTGGCATAGACGCCTAGCAGCTACAACATCTCCGAGAATAACTTGCCAGCTAACGGCTGCGAACAAGTTGACTAGGCATTGGAAGATGGCGATTAAAAAGTTGCCTGAATCTGCCCGACCACACATGCAGAACCTTCGACTTTGGCAGGCCATGCAGGCACGAGCCATGCTGCACACGAGTCAAGCGAGCAACGGCAGCAGCGTTGTGACTTTCTCTTCTAGCGGTCTTGACTGCAAGCAACTGCTCAGCCCCGCCATCGGAAGCCTGATCGACAGTGATTGTCATACCGGTCAGTAGCATGGCTCATCATCTGTAAGTGCGCTCTGTGCCTTTATCTTGCGGTGTCTTGTGTTAACGACCCGCTGCAACCAAGACCCCTGCAAGATTGCTTTCCATCTTCAGGATTCTCTGCACTGGGAGCTCGCAGTGGAATGTAGACATGTGAAATCAGGCCAGTGTCACGCACTCCACACAACCCAACTAGCCTTCGGGCAGGATTTGGATGTCAGTGTTGCCAGGGGTCGAGTGCGGCGCTCTCATCAAGGGGGTCCTGACAAACAACTCTCCGTCCGTTTCGGAAAAGGCAACTGTGTGCTGCTTGGAAGAATCACCCCGAAGTCCTCACAGCGTATGCATTCCTGAGTTGGCATGCAACATGGCCAGCATTTGTTGACAACTTCATAAAAGAAAGGATGCAAGAGGCAGTTTACAGTGACTCAGCAAAATCTGGGAAGAAGCCAAGGATCAACTTGTCGTACACTCGCGAAAGCGAGGAATCTATTTGCTCGTCCAGCGGGAAGAGATACTGCGCACGTGATGTCATGCACATGTTGGCAGCCCTTGCGAGAACCGAACCAGGCCATGCGAAGAGAGGCATTTCCCGGAACGCAAAACCGGTATGCAAGAAATCTTGGGAGCCAAATGACGGATGGAACCCTCAAACATCCATACATATTATGTTGCCAGTTGCTGGGTTCTGGGCGCAACCAAACATCCCTCGGCGAACAGACCAGCAAGCATGGTGAACAACAGAGCAGCTTGCAAGAAGCTAGAGGGGCACTGTATCATTGAGCAACTGCAGTCTTACCAGACGGAACCTGCATGCAAACAAAAATGTTTCGTACACCGGGGAGTGATGTTCTGCCAACAGCCGCAATTTCAAGCATCTGCAGGTTCATCAAAACTTTGCCACAGACCTGTTCTCCTTTTGGCATTCGGGTTCTGCGGTGAAACGCCTACGACCTACGACCTACGTGTCTCTTATGATTTTTAGTTGGGTGAAAGAATTTGTTGCAGCAAATCTTGGTGCCTGAGATATTGCTACCTTGCTGCATTTGCTGCTCCGCAGAGCTCTGTCAGCCGCGTATCATGAAGCAGTGCGGCCTCGGGGTGGCGATTGCAGGTCGCAGTCGTCAGCAAAACAACAACTTCGCTGGTCAGCATCTCTCCCGAAGAGAAAGGCCATGACTGCAGTTTCTAGTTCCGGTCAATGGCTTGCGGAACACATTGACATGGCTGCAAGTTGTGCAAGCAAGCACCACTCCACTTAGACTTGCCCATGCAGCTTTGGCCTGTCGAGCTGGCCGTGCAGTACTGTGCTGACTGATCTGGGCTTGTGGCATCATCAAAGATCGCAGGCAGTCGCTGAGCAAGACGATGGGCACGAACAATCCGCAAACCTTTAGGACAAGCAGCATTGTGGTGCATCGAACAAATGACATGACGAAGCTGCAGCCACTTCCGATGCACTGCATGCGGGGAGCCAGCAGGTCCAGCGGACCACGCAGTGCAAGTGTGGCAGTGAGCACCTCGTGCGTGGCAGGAGGGACCAAAGCTGACCAGGGACTTTATTCAGAAATAGGAACTGCCAAATACGGAGCTACTCCAGAGAGGCACGAAATAGTCAAGACAGACAGAGGCCCACTTTTGCATTGTGCAACTTGTGCCGCATGCTGTGATGAACAAAACTTCGAAACTTGGCCAGTCGCAAACCGTCGGCCCATGAGTCATCAGAATGCTTGCGCAAAATGGGCGATGTCGATCGAGATGGTCTTCAAGCACGTGCCATTGAAGGGCTTTCTCAGCGAGCGGAACCATGTGAACGATGATCAACTTCACAGACACTGCGAGAAGGCGAACCAAAGCGTTAACAGTGCGACAGGGATGTGGATAGGATTAAGCTCTGACCCGTGACATCTATGCGAACGCAGAATCGCGAAATCCTCATTGAGCCATTGGCTTGGCGCCCCAATTTCTGTCGAGAAACTCCCACACTACATCTGTGCAGTTGTTCAATAGCTGCTCTACAAGCTCGAGCCCGTGGCCAGCTCAAGCTGGTTCAGTACCGTGTAGAGCTTCATGACGTCAGCACCTCTGAAGACGTCACGCGACTTCGGTTTGGAGGAGTTGAACTGACTCCGGCGGCCGATCCCAAGCAGGGGACTCCAAAGATAGAAAGCGATGAGGAAAGCAGGCCTTGGCATCCGCTTGCGATGTTCAGTACAACATGGGAAAGGCATGAGACCACAGTTTGACCGTTACTTGAGGCGACTTTTCTGAGACTCCGTGCGCAATGAGCAGCTGCGCCGTGTACAGCGTGACCTCATGGACTTGAGGCACCCAAGCGCCGGGCTCCGGGAAGAAACATATTCACCGAATGAAGTCCACTGCCGATTCCCGACCTGTGAAGTGCTCGGAGTCTCCTGGTCTGGCTCGAAGAGCTGATCCTCCTGGAGAAAAGCTCTACAAAAATGAGGACAGTGTCAGTGTGCAGTACTGGGCCGAACCATCCTCACCGCCGGTGAGGATCACAATGATACAAACCTGACTGACGGACCGAATCTGGGAAGCAGCACTCGATTCGATTGGGGACAGGACATGTCACCTGTTAATATTCGTGGCTTCTGGGATCTCCGACCAGTTGGAGAGCAACCATCGTCAGCAAGGCCACGCCGCGGCGCACTATTTCCGGCATGATCACCTTCGTGCACAGGCTGCGTTCTGGATATTTTGAACTCGATGATCGCATCAAGATTGCAGTGGCTAATTGCTTTGAGATGTTCTCCCATCTGGAAACCTCTCATTGCACTAGAGACAGGGCTGTACAAGCGCTCGACCTCATCCTCTGACATTGAAGTGTATACCACGATGGGCTCATTCTGCAGCAGCCGCCTCTGCCTGCGAAGGTTAGTGGATCTGAGGGGAGTCATTTTTTAAAGATACAAAAACATAGAGGCAAGGCAACACTATGGGTTATGTATAAGTTGCTGTTTCCAAACCCAGCGACTGTCCGTGTCGCTACACCCCGCACGGCAGAGGAGCACGAAAAAGTTGCTCCATCATTTGAAAACCTAGGTGACTTACGCTGATTGATGGCACTTCAACCTCCCTTTCCTTGCCGCACCTCTCTTCCTCCGTCTCCTGCCCATTCTCAGCCTCCTTAAGCACGGACCATCTTGTTCCGGTCAAGGGAGGTTTAGACATGTGCTGCTCTCAACAAGTGCCAAGCCCGACGCTGGCTGTAGCAGCCCGCGAGAGGGTGGTGGCGATCCGATGGCCATCGTGTCGTCCGGAAAAACGAGCTGGCATGGCATCCTCGGCTGCGGCACATGGCATGTTGATTTCGAGATCGAAGCACACTGCAGAGGTCTTCGCCAGCTCTGGATGTTTGTAGCATGCAATCATGCAATGCACATCCTTCCGGCTGCTAAGGCTTGACTGCATCAACCAGGTTTTTCTCGTTGCATGGCAAGCCCCTGTGTGAAGGGTACGTCACCGAATCAAAAGCAGGTCCAGGCACTGCTTCTGAGCTTGTTGAGGAGCCAACGCTTGCGTTATCGCCTGCACCATGGCGCAAAGCGGCTGTGCCGCCAAGTAGGCTCCAATCGAGGGGAACAGGGGCTCGCGATCTCTGAGAATCTGTGCATGCCTAGCTCAGCCCAGGTATGCCCAGGTCTGGTCCCTTCCACACCTGCTTGCTGCACTGCACAGGCTATCACTGTGCCTGCTGATGATACTGCAGGAGCGCATGGCGATCGAATTGATCCATCCGCACGCGTTGCTGCCTCCCGTTTACTGAGCTTGTTCTTTGACTCCAGATAGCAGCAAAGTACGAGAAACCGCCAATGGAATCCCATTGTGCAATAGTTACGCATACCCCTATCATCTAGCCAGCTTTTGCCACCTCTTCGTACTTCAGCTGAGTTCTTCTAAGGTTCAGGCCTCATGATGAAGAGAAATCTGATCGAAGCCTGGGACCACAGGAAAGCTGCTGCCGTGGATAAGGAGAAGCACGTGGCGAGCGAGCGGTGGGGGCTAGATGCGCTCTGGATTGGTCCAACTTGATGCAGCTGACGAAACAGCCATGGCGTTGAATGTTTTTGGGCCAATCAGACATGCACAGCAAGTACTGCAACGGTCTGATGTCTGATACAAGTCGACGTGCCATGAAAATTGAAAATTTCATGATGCCGTTGGCATGGCCTCTTTCAGTCCGGGTGCTGATCCTGTCAGCAGGCTGATGAAGGCGGCCAAAGCTCAGCCATCCGGGCCAAAGGAAGCAGCTTGGCTGTTAAGCAAAGGTCCGGTTCATCTCTGGCATAGGCACGGTGGGCTTCTTGGCTTTCAGGATTAGGCGGATCAGCGA